TTGCGTTGGGTTGTTGATATCAGTTTTACCATTTGTCACATAGCTAGAATGCTGTTATCCCTAAACTACCATTTCGATTGATCCGGGCTCGTATGCTTTGCCCAGTCTGCCACATGTATTCAGCGCTTGGATTTTTGTAGGATCGGACAAGCGAGGTATCTATTCAGGAATTCAGCTATACACGCCGTATAGTTCTATATTTGACAGCTCATTATGACGATAAAGATTTTAGTATTAATCAATCCGGTTACTTACCGGACTTTCAGCTGTGCCTGCGCTAGCTTTGAGGTGACTGTAGTCCACAGAGGATTCTTCCCAGCCGTCTGTGCCATCGTTTATAAGAGACAATGTCAACCTAATGGGCTCACCGCGACCTCGAAGGGAAAAATAGGTCAGAAGTGGTGCCATGTTGCAATTCGACTTGAATGACTGTAGACTATGGGACAGACATGTATTGTTTATTTCCTTTTATCCATAGCCTCCTTGTTCTATTTATTAGGAGGTGGTGTTTTATTTATCTATACTCTAAAAAAAAAAGTGCGTCTTTGATATTTACTCGCCTCCTCTCCCTCGCTCTCTATCTTCCTTCCTCTCCAAATATTCTATCGGTCTAAATATCACTCTATCGGTCTATCTTCTCTCTAAAAGTCTAAAATGTTTATTTACTGCAGTCTTTTAAAAAAAGACAGAGTCAGAGCTACTATAATTTACTACAGCTACTACACTCTCTTCTGTGTGGATACAGGAGTGTGAGTGTGGAGTGTTGCCGGAGAAGAGAAAGGGAGTCTGCCAGTCTGAGAGAGATTGATCAAGAGATCAGGAGAGACTAGAGAGAGTCAGAGCTGCTGGGTTGGTATGATGCCGCTGCATGTCGTCTGAAATATGGGTCATACATAGATGACCCGTCCCGACATATAATGCACGTCGCCTAACGCCTGCTAAATATTACTGTTTAGCCGGGTGTAGCTGAACAACCAGTCCTAAATAAATTGAGCCAGGACAGGTACAACTTTTTCCAACTGATTGATTAAAGTTATAAAAAAAAAGTTAACTAATATGTTGTTCTTAGGTCTCTTGATGCAAATATAAAGTGATGGTGCTATAGATATTTAACTGAGAAGTTGGCTTAAAATGGGTTTTTCAAAAATGGTCTAAACACGAAAAACAATTAAAAAACACCGGGGCGTCTGTCGGACTCTGACACCCTGTCGGATGTCGCTAATAAATACATCATGTCGGCTACACCAAACGACGTGTCGTTTACCAGCAGATTATCCCAGGGTCCAGAGTCCAGACTGCAAAGGAGAAGTCGGCTGAAGAAAAATTCATATAAAAAAATGAAGGCGTTAAATAACAAGTGTCACACAGCCAATGATATGTGTTGTTGGTATGGTAATTATTTTTATTGGGGTCGGGGGAGGCAGGGCGAATAGCCTTTATTTAGGCCGTCAGGGACTCAAGCTCAGCCCTGAGGCCTGAGCCCTTAGGAGTAGGGCAAGACTTCGCCTTCAACACACACACAACACACACCAGAGAGAGAGACGACAGAAGAGAGCAGAGAGAGGAAGACTTCACAACAAAAGAGTTCAAGTATTCAATAGTTATTTTTGGATTTAAAAAAAAAACACAATTGTTTTGTTTTTATGAAAAAGAGAAAAGCTATTTTATTGAGACGGATGGGCAGTGAAGACTGATGAGTGCACAACTTCTTCAGATTAGTTTCTGTCTTCCCTATGTATTTATAAAGTAAATAGTCTGAGCGAATAATCAACACAGTATATTTTAAAATACAACCACCTTACATACAACAGCAATATGACACATTCTCTCTCGGCCACGGCAGCATAGGACCCGCCAAGGCCCCTCTAAAGGCCCTAACTCAGCAATTTTAGCAACAGAACTGTTTTATGTGGGAATTTATTGAAAACTCCAGCAGTGGCTATTTACCAACTTACAGGCTCCACCATATGAAATACATCGACACCACCTTCAACCCCTACCAACCATGACCTCGTCCAATCAATTGTCGAGCACGGATTCTTCCAATTTTCACGAATTACATTGATCGGTTCTATGCGCTGCTTCGTGGCTTCGAAGTTCGATGGTACTTCCAAAAAAATTCACTTGCGTTCCTAAGAATTCAATCAACCCGCTACAAAAATTTGGTTCAATCACTCTATTAGTCAGACTTACATCTTTGTGGATATTACAGCAATGCGACAACACATATCCTCGTATCTCAATATTACAAGGGAAAGCTTCCACTTGGTGTATAGCTACTGCACATTGTATTGTACTAAACTGCCCCATACAGACATATACCGCGGTCATACATAGCTTACTAGTTACCTACCTGAAAGTTGAAAGCACTATGGCTAAACTATGGCTATTTCTAACTTCATAGATGCTTTTTGTCATGAGTGTTGACTGTTGAGTGTTGAGTGTTTTACTGTTAGGGTGATCGAGTCAAAACTCAAAAGAGTGACTCAACATTACAAATAATTAAACACAAAATGTAAGGAATTGTACGGTTCACTAAATTGTGATCCATGTCACTATGTGTAGGTAAATAAATATTGGTATTCTAGTACATGCGAGAAATTTTATGTTTTTGTTGTATAAAAAACATATGTTAAAAAAAACAAATATTTAACCCACATTGTCGAAATAAAGTTTGATTTTTTATGAAAATAAAATAGAATTATATATATATCACAGGGATCATGTCGATGAGTCGATCAATGATAATGACTCCATGAGACTGGAGTGGAGACAAAGGATTAAGGAGTCCTTTCGCGTAGATTTGGTCGTGTGGACTGTAGAGACTGGAGACTGGATCACTGGAGAGTTGAGACACGCGAATTCAATGAGCTCATATGAAATGTATGTACTTTTAGATTTGGAGATTTATATTTTGGTTTTAGGTTAAAAAAAAACACGAAAAATTAGTGAACAAACAACAACCAAAAAAGTTTAAAAAAAACAAACATATTTACATATGCACATACGTAAATAGAAGTAACGAGTCAGGACTCAGGAGGACGAAGGAGTGAGGCTGATCTTGATCAATCGGCCCGGGGCCCAGTTCCGGGCCGCCCTGGCCCCTAGGCCCTCAGCGGCTCAGCCATGAGCCAGTCAGCCCTGCGAGACTGAGCCCCTGACCCTGACTCACGACTACGAGTCACTGACTTCTGAGGCAGAGGAAGTGGACCAGTAGAGACTGGAGACTGGAGACTGGACTGTATGAGTCTGGAGTGTGGACTGTGGAGCACAGAGACAGACCACTGGATCCATTTTAAAATTAAAAAACTAAAAGTGTTTTTGTAAAAAACAACAAACAAACTGTAGCGAAAAAGAAAAAAAACCCCATTTGTTTAAAAAAAAATAGAATCCATATAGATTTCTATTGATTTTAAAAATAATACTCTATCAACGAATTAGACGGCTCACGGCTCACGGCCTCACGGCTCGCTCACGCGGTCAAGGCGTCACACGACTGACTGACTCAGCCCACCACGGGACAGAAGTGCCGACACTGCTCAGTGCTCACACACTGCCGAGTGCCGAGTTCCGACTCATCACTCTTCAGTCATTGATGCCGTTTTTATATACTTTGTAGACAAAAGACAGACAGGAAGGGATTTTTGGGGGTATTTTTAAAGTGAGCACAGAGATGCAGAGTCCATGTCAGTTCCACACTCCACAGTCATAGTGTTGCACATAACATTCGGTGTCTAATAGTGTATGCCTAATTAAAAATGACAAGGTGGCTACGTACCGTTGACTAGTTTCTCAATGGAAAGCATAGGAATGGGATTCATTGTACCTAATATGTTACAGTATTGTAGTCGCGGGCCCTTTTTTAACCCAGTGAAGTAGTATATACAGTTAGAGGCTGATGGTACATACTTACCACCACGCTCCAGATCATCCTTATCATTATCATGAGCCAAAACAGGTATCAGGTAGGCCAAGAGTCCAAAGTAGACATCGAAGTAGCTAATGAATACTTCGATGTATCCACCGTATCCGCAGGATTCGCCCGTAAGCTCGATGTACCCCTACCCACAAGCTTGCTGACTGGCTGCTCACAGAACATAATCGCAGGTTTTGTGTGTTTCTGCTGCCCTGGTATGTTCAATGCAATGCAAGGATTGGGTAATGCGGGTGGATCTGATCCGGCCGTATCTGCTGCAATGAATGCAGCGCTCAATGGTACTTTTGCCATAGCGGGCTACTTCGGAGGTCTCTTGTTCAACTTGTTTGGAAACAAGCTATTGATGGTTCTTGGAGGTCTGACATATTGCTTCTACTCAATTTCGGTGTATTTGTGGAGACAGGATGACAAGTATGTCGGTATGGCCATTGCCGCGTCTTCTATTCTGGGGGTGGGTGCCGGAATGCTCTGGACTGCTCAAGGTATATACATTTATCGCAATCATTGTTAGGATTCGTTTAGTGAATGTATTTATTTAAAAAAATTCCGGACTAGATATACGCCGAAGGGGACCTGGACTGCTCGATTCTGTACATAATTTGGCTTGATATATTAAAGTCCCCCGCTCTGTTGTATACTTTCGGGTTTGCGGAGCTATAGCGCGCGTTTCTCCCTATGTCTGTGACAGTTTTAAGGTATGTCTGCCTTCTGCCCAGTGTTCTGTATTGTTCACTGGCGCGATATACAATACGTACTATTCAAGTCGATTAAATTAGGTCACGATAATGCGGATCATTTCCTTTTCTTCATCCCTCTTCATCCCTCTTCCAGAAACAATGAGTATGTCTTACGCAACAGAGGACAAAAAAGGAATGTTCACCGATCTTTTTTGGATTATATTCAACTTGGGTGGAGTTGTTGGAGGAGGGATTACCTTTTTCATAAACACTGGTACGATTATCTGGCAAATATCGTTGCTGTGTTTCTAAATTCTTTGAGTACGCATTCTTCGATGGTTTTTACGTACGTCTGTTACTGATGAATGCTTGCTACATACCAACACATGTATGGCAACAATTTTGCATGACGCAAGGACTTGTCATGCGTAAATTGCTGTTTTAGGGTTTGGATGGAAAGTTTTATTTTATATCTGCCACTCTGGTTGAAAAGTCCCATCTGCTCAATATACAGTTATTCTTTTTTTTATCAAGTTTTAAATCTGACTGCGTTTGCTTCCTTCGTGATTGTGTTACATGGTCAGTGTTTACGAGTCTGGCCATGCATAGGTTGTTGTTAGTAATATGGTGTGTGGTGTACCATGGCATATGCTAATGCTCATTTTGGCACAATAGACTCACACATCCCTTTTGCAACTTTCCCAACTAGGTGGTGAGGACATTACCAGTATGAATGAAGCCACATATTTCATGTTCTGTGGTATCATGGTTTTCGGCGCTGTGGTTGCTCTCCTTTTAACGGTACATCCCTCAAGAGTGATCAAAGCCGATGGCCACATTGTAACTTTCGACAAGGCTGCCTCACCCGCCGCTGAACTGAAGTCTGTGTTTAGGCTATTTCAAAACAAGTATATGCTTTTACTCACCCCGCTCATTATCCAATCCAATTGGTTCTACACCTACGAATTCGGTGCTATCAACGGCAATCTATTTGACCCGGAGACACGGGGATTGAATAGTGCAGTCTACTGGGTCATGCAGATGGTTGGTGCGTATGCCATCGGCACGGTGTTCCTAGACAACAGGTTCATGGGTCGTCGCCAGCGTGCCATATACGGGCTTATCATCATCTCTACTTTTAACATAGCCCAATGGGCGTATGCAGCGTGGTTTCAGTTTACCTAAAACTACGAGCACGACAACTCGCCCAAATCGCGTATCAAATACACAGACGGCAGTACGTACTGGATCCCCGCAGGTTTGTATATGTGTATGGGAATAGCGGACTCCATTGTGCAGACATATGCCTACTGGATAATGGGACCCATTGCTAACACGCCCAATGTGTTGTCACGATATGCTGGTTGCTACAAGGGTGTGCAGTCTCTGGGTGCCATGTTCTCGTGGATGCTCGAGTGGCAACTAGTAGCGTACAAGATTCAGTTGCTGGTGTGCATTGGTTTGGCTATCGCGTTCATTCCCCCTACTATGATGGTTGCTATGATGGTCAAGGATCGTGGAGCTGAAGATGATGATGATGACGATGCCGAGGAAAGGACGAAAAGCTCCGAAGGCCTGGATAAATATTTTTGACAAAGGCCCAAAATATATGTCGGAGTGAGTCTCGAAATTAAGTACATACATACATACATAGCCTCCTAAAAATTTAACAAGGAGGCTATGATACGTACTGTATGTGTCAGTCTACACATTGCTAAAATTAGTATTATTTATTTAGAAAAAAATTGATATACATCCCATTGTGTACAGGGCTTGGACACGCAGGTTCGTAATTCTGTAGCAATATCACAATGAGACCAACTGTATATTAAAAGACGTATACATGTCCGGTGGTGGTAACATGGCTGTTAAGGTTAGACGTACTTGTAATATAGTTCTCAGCTACACCAGACAACAAAGGTGTATTTCTCACTTCATCCATGAAATTGTAACAAAATGCAAAGCAGCAATTCTATGTTCAGACTATGCGCTGTATATATAGTTAACAGATTTATGTATGCATGCTTATCTACGAGAGCATTATATATTAACACACACATACACACACACACGCACACACACACACACACACACACACATATATATATATATATATATAAGTGTACAACAAAAATATACATATATGTGAGGAGACCATACGAGGTGAAACTATTGCGAATGCTTTTATGATAGACCAAAATCAGCAGCCATTTTATTCAGGGCTGCAGTGCAGTCAGAATTGTCGCTCGTATGAAACCACTCTCCAGTCACTACGAAGTCGTAGGATACACTTATGCTACTCCCCAGCTAGTGTGTTACATAGACGTATACACGAAGCAAAGCTATTTTATTGGCGAAAGCATGCACTACAAAGGATTCTTCAAGAAGTCAATCAGCTGCTCTGAATTTAACAGCACCCCTTCTTCTCGGCCGGACTCTCAGACTCGTTTGTGGGCGCCACAGTTATAGTATCGGGTTTACCGTTGTCAGTAGGTTCCTCCAGTCCCTTGGCAGAAACAATGCGGTAGATCTCCTGCAGGCGTCAAATAAGTGTGTCTAAGAGATAGCATGATCCATAATGGTCTATTAAGAGCCCTTAATATCTCTACCCGTCCGGGTGTAGGCTCTCACAGTCGTCATATCTATTCTCCATATCGATATCGACATATTTGTATATATAGATAAACGTCCCCTTACTACGACAACACCTATAACCGGCCCCAATGTTAGCTCGTAAACCCTGCATAACACGAGCGTGACTTTGCAATACTGTGTTTATATTTAACCCAGCGGCAAATGCTCATGTGCATACCTCCAGTGTCTTCACGAACGCATCCTCCACGTTTGTGGCTTCCAACGCTGATGTCTCGATGAAGCGAAGGCTCTCTTCTGTGGCGTACGCTTGCGCATCTTCCTCAGTTACTGATCTACAAGGAAGCGATATCAAACGGATTGGAAAGTGAGTTATTTACAAACATACGCCGACCAGGCCGAACTCACTTGATCGGGCATAGCAGCAAGATCAGACACCACGAGATGCAGATTTGATACTTCATGCGTGTATGTGCGTGACCATTAAATCCCATAACAAATCGAAGGTCGCGATTGAAAATCTGAACGCGTGCGCTGACGTTTTGAGTAGACAACTGCTGACGAAGCCGAGGCAATCTCGCCAATAAGAAGGAATAGAATGTCTTCTATAACACACCTCAAGTGCTTTAAATCGCTTTTGTTTCCAACAAGCATGATGACAATATCCGAGTCAGCATGGTTGCGCAGTTCCGTAAGCCATCTCTGGACGTTCTCGTATGTTCGGTGCTTGGCAATGTCGTATACGAGCAGTGCCCCTACAGCCCCACGGTAGTAGGCTGACGTAATAGCTCGATAGCGCTCCTGTTTGTGATTGGCATAGATATAACGGTGATCTCAAAAGCAATACGCTGTGTACATGTGTGTTCAATTTGACTAGCTAAAAACCATGGATGGAAAATGCGATTAATAAAAAAACCCCTCAAGACAAGCGATTAAGCTCTCATATAAACACTTATCGTCTGTTTAGCAACCCCCATTATGAACTGTCGTAGCTAGACTTTACCTGTCCAGCAGTGTCCCATATTTGGGCCTTGATAACTTTGCCGTCGATCTCCACTGAACGTGTTGCAAACTCAACACCGATAGTTGATTTTGTTTCTAAACTGAACTGATTTCTTGTAAACCGAGACAGGAGATTGGATTTACCCACACCACTATCACCTGTTATGAGAAGAAGCGAACCTATATAGTGAGTTTACGGTTCTATGATGTATTAGGTTTGTATTCGAATGTGTAAAAAATTGAAGCGGCTAAAATATTCGAGAGGTTCAGGGTGTAAGCTAACACCGCACGAATAACTCGCGAATGATTGATCAAGTTAAAAAAATTAGGCATGCTATTACATATTAACGAACTAGACTCTCAAACCGTATAAAATATAAAAAAAGTTGCTCTATATTTGTCTGTATGCACTATATATATAGATACACAATATATACCTGTAATTCAATCAATATATATATGTGTACACACACACACACACATATATATATATATATAACAAAAAATGAGTATATTAAATATACATTTACATAAATACACACATACATACATACATATATATATATATATTATATTATATATAACAAATAAATAGAATATATTAG